GTATTCTAATACAGTATCTCAAAACAGAACTCACCATGTCTGGAGCTGACAAACTGAGTTTCTCATTCAACTCCAACAGAGCTCCATGCAGACTTGATGGAACTAAGTTAATATCTACCTGATGGAACAATGTTCCCCTAATTTCTGAAGCCTTGTTATAGCTACTGACCATAGTATCTGGAGCCAAACATTAGTTATGAGCATGCTGGATTTTATTCATTTTATGCACTGGAACATTTTTCTGCCAAAAAATGAATGTTGAAGCTGCACCTTAAAATATCCTCTGAGACTGTAGAATTTGTATTTGGAATTGTTTGATAGGCAGGCAGTTATTTTCCAGGACCTAAAACCCCATTTTTTAATTTAGAAATTGAAATTTTGTGTTTTGGGCAAATTCTGATGTTACTGAATGGGGCCCATTCCGGGACACCCTTTATACCATGAGGCCTGTTCCGGGACACCCGTTCCGTCATGAAGCCTTTCCTACAGAATGGGGGTCATGGTACCTTCAGTGGCAGAACTGCTGTCACAGACCAAGAGACAAAAATTCAAATTTTTGTGAACAAAGTTTCCTTCAAATATTAGGTTTTTTGACTGCCTTAATTTCCTATCTCTAAATTACTGTGTATTGGTCATTTGCTAGTATTTGAAGGGTCCTTTGGCACAACTTCAGTGCCAGCCCTCTGTTGGGGTATTTTATTTGGAATGTTGTGTTAAGGAGGGACATTATCCCTGAATTGTTCTGAGGGATATCTCCAGCACTGTTCTAATTGTTCAATTAGTGGTGAATTGGGAATTTCCCACTCTAATGCATTTATGTTTTTTTTGGTTAGTAACAGCCAGGCCAAGTTGGCAAGGCTGGCACATTTAGGTCAACCTTTTAAGTTGACTTCCATCCCTGTGGGATTCTGAGAAGGGAGAGGTTCCCAGGCAGCAGCTGCCACTTAAGCTTTCTCACCCTTGTTTAGGAAGCTGTTTTTCCCCCTTTTGTTTTGAAATCTGTGAAGGGAATTTATGGCTGTTGGAGAAAATTCCCAACCCCCTCTCTTCTTGACTCAGGATTTCCTCCTGTTTTAGAACTCTCATCTCTGAGCTCTGTTTGGGAAGGGTGGTTCTGAGTTGCTCCCCAATTGTGGGGAATGTATTCTGTTGCATATTTTGTACTGTCCTGTTTGCAATTTTATCATGTATTTCTAATTTGTATTACAGGCAAACCGTTTTTATCACTCCATCCAATCCCTCAGCTGACCCATCAGCTGATGGTCATGTAAAGATTTTAGTTGATTCATCCACTTCTAACTTTCATTGACAGGTCAATTGACCCATCGCATGGCTAGTCAGTTGTAAACCACCCATTTTTCTAGAATTTTCCCCCAGACCGTCAACGTGCTTTCCTACCCGTCACAAGCATGCATCAGATGACGCATCCATTGATGGGTCAACTGCATTTTTGAACTAATGCAGCTATAGTTTCACATCAGAAGCGTCACCGATTTTCCAAAACATCGCATTGATGCATCACATGAAGCATCATCTGATGCATCACATGCATTTTGAAAACTCCAACACCCAAATTATCCGCTGGGCCCGACTCGTCAATACTATCATAAATGACAGTAAACCCTTGTCCCACCTCCCGTTTGGAATTCAATCACAAAGGACAGATTCGGAAAATCCACCCAACCCAGACCAGTCAAA